TACAACTAGTATGAACTAGTGATGGGAATCGGAAAATCCGGATTTTCACAAAAAAACGCTATTTAAGCTACTTTAAAATCATATAAGTGTTAAATAATTTTACAACATAAAGCTCTATATCTAAGTAACATTTTTTGATAAATATGTGAAAATAAAACAAAACCCCAAAGAGATAAACTGCTTTTGAATTTCGGATTTGTTGAAATCCGAAAATCCGGAATCCGAAATCCGAAAGCATTTTATAAACAAAGTTAAAAGTTTTTTTTTAAAAAATGTTATCAACAAATTTTACTTAGGTACACATCTTTATATTGTAATAGTATTTAACAATTAAATGATTTTCAAATGACTTAAAAAGCGTTTTTTTGAAAAATCCGGATTTTCGGATTCCCATCACTAGTACGAACATGATATTTAAAAAATACAAGTTATATTTAAAAAAGTAGAAAATAAATTTCGAGTGCATACTTGGGGTTTCATTGAACAATTTACAGATAGGTACAATATAAAAAAAGCGATTATGAAGTACGTTTGTATGTGAGTACGTATGCATGCATGCATGTATGTATGTATGTATGTATGGATGGTGTGTACGTCAACAGATATCGCTTTTAGAATTGATCGACATCGAGACGGTTTTTCGTGTACAGTTTATCATATACGACTATAGTACACAAGTATTTGAATTTGAATACAAATTTACAATGAAATACAAATGAATACAACGACGTGGGTCGTTCGTTCCGCTCGTTTGTTTTTTTGTTTTTGTCCTGTTATCTATATCTCGCGTGTGCCGTTTAACGCACAGCGCAGCGGCCGCGTCCGTTGTTTTTTTCCGTTTTTAATCGGTCAGGTCAATTTGTAGTATGATAAACTGTACACGAAAAACTATCTCGATATCGATCAATTCTAAAAGCAATGTCTTTTAACGTACACGCCATCCATACGTACATACATACATACATACATACATGCTTGCATACTTCATAATCGCTTTAATCATCTTACATATTATCTGCAATAGCCAAGTATTTTTTATAGCATTACAATAACGTTGGTATTTTTATTAAATTTCCCCGCTCGTCCATTCTAAAGGCGTCACCCCTGCCCTTTCAATCTGTTTAAAATACGATTGTCATAATTTTTTTTTATTTGTATTCTACGGGTAATACCGACTAACAGTTGATGAACTACGGATTTATTCTAAGTTTGTATCTGTAGGACATCATTTTCCTAAATATACAATAACAAACGTATTTACTCATATTGTAATCGTTTTAACTTTTTCATTCCATTTCACAGTCACTATTACTTACTGTAGTTTGTATTACTATAATCTATAAAATATTAAATATCGGTACGAGACACCGCCGTTGACCGACACGACTATTGTGTGTATATTATATTTTATTAATATTTGGTGGTCCTGAAAAGGACCGTTTTAAGGGTTTAAGAGAGTGTTTTTAACAAATTACGCCTTCTTTTTGGGCGCAGCCGTCTTCTTGACTGCCACCTTCTTCGCCTTGGGTGCCTTGGCTTTGGTGGCCGGCGCTTTCTTAGCCTTGGCCGGAGACTTTTTCGGTTTCGCGGCTTTGGGTTTAGGCGCTGCGGCTACCTTTTTCACCTTCTTGGCGGCGGGCTCGCCGGATTTCGGTTTCTTGGCACCGGTGCTCTTCCTCTTCTTGGCCGCTCCGGGCGCCTTGGACACCGCCGCTTTCTTGGCGATCGGCTTCTTTTTCGGCGCTACCTTCTTCTCTTTTTTGACTTCGGCGGCCAATTTGAAATGGCCCGACGCTCCGTTGCCCTTGGTCTGGACCAGCTTGCCGCTGGCGACGGCCGACTTTAGGAATTTGCGGATGAAAGGCGCTAGCTTGGCAGCGTCCACTTTGTAGTTGGCGGCCAAATATTTCTTGATAGCCGGCAACGACGATCCTTTTTTCTCCTTCAGTTCCTTGACGGCTGCGATCACCATCACGGCCGTGGTAGGATGAGCCGGTGCGGCTTTCTTCGCCTTGGGAGCGGCGGACTTCTTTTTCGGCGACTTGGCCTGGGCCGGCGACGAGGCGGCTGGTGCTGGTGCGGCGACTGCGGTGTCGGTCATGGTGAAGCGGTTTGAAAATAGACTCTGGTACTCTGGCAAAATGAACAGGAACGGTGTGTATAACTCGAGTTTGGCCGTCACGCCGTCTATATACTCGTCGCCATACCGACTAGTAAACGCTTACGGAATCGAATTTTCCGTTTTGACGTGATCCCGTTCCGTTTTATCTCGTTTTTTCCGCTCGAAAATCACTCAACGGCGATAAATCTCTTTCTCCTTAAAGCCAACGTTATAGCAAAGCCGTCGGTCGGTCGAATTTTCTCTTTAAGTCGACGGCCGCTGTGCCGTAGGAGGTTGTTCCGACCAGTCCGACTATTCAACGATACACCTCTTTCGAGGTCGATTACAACCCGTTAATGTCGAGTTAAATTAAAAAGTCTTTTCGATTCGCAATCTGCACGTGTATTGAAAAATTATCGCGTAGGGTATAAGAGTCTGAGTTATGAAGGGACCGAAGGGGGCCGTGTCGAATTCGGGTCGTTAGTAGTTTTACGCGTCGCGCAGTTATCGTCGAGACTCTATGCGATATTTTGACGGCGGCCACACCGACCGAATCGACCTAAGATTACACCGAAAATAGTAAAAACAATTTCAATTGTCATTATAAAAATATATTACCCGTTCGGCTATCAAAGCTGCCCCGATTTCTATTAAAAATAAGACTTCCAAACGAACGCTGAACTGTATTTTAATCGAACCGTTAAGCCGCTTCGAACGAGTAAACCGTCGCGACTAAGACGTCTTTACGTTTGTTCAAATTTATTTTATATATTTTTGAAAGTTCGAGACCGATTTATTACGTCTGCTCAACAGTAGTATTGTTAAATATCTAGACTCGCCCGTGATCGTCGGGGGTCCATATTATGACGAGTGACAGCACAGTGTATAGAACTGAACGACGAGTAGCCCGTTTACAAAACCGATTACGTTGCAAAAAATTAATATCGGTATTATCTTTTAAAGTTTTATGATTGACGTTTTGGTTTATTTTGTCTCGAAATAAATTTCCAAAACCCGTTTTTTTACCCGATAAACATATACTTTATGTGTAGGCTTATTTCCAAAAGTTATTGTCTGCAGTAATTGCCAAGAGGCATGTAATATTGACCGTTTGTCAAATAAAAACTTATTACCATCACAACGGTATTCACAGGTATTACATATTATATTTTAATATTAAAGTCGGAAACAATTATTTCTCATTTTATTAAACGAAAATGCTAAATTATTATTGTAAAATTAGAAATAGAAATAGAAAATGTATTTTATGAATAAAATCGTTGTTTTTTTTTTCTCCAGAAATAATCTACTTAATTCCAAAACTTTTCGTTTACTCACATTTGAGTGCCGAACCTAGTTACTTTTTCATTTGAAACGTGGTTGGAAAAATAATTTAAAATATAGAGCAATTAACAAAAAAAAATTGCAATTATTAGATAACAACTATTTGTCTTGATCATTATGTCTTTAAACGGTTTTTTTCATGTTTTCCCAAAATTTCAAAAAGTGTTGACTTTTATAATTAATTGTATATTATGGGCTAGGTATTCGATAAACAAAATACAAACACCAGCTGAACAATGGCCATTTCACATTAGCAAGTAATATATTATTATTATTATACGTCATTTGGTATATTATATTATTTAGTTTTGAGAAACGTATAGAACCTATTGATGTCGTCACTGCCCGTGTATTTTAAATTAAGTGCCGCGGAAACGTGTGGGGCCCATCTATCTACCTACTTTCAGTTAAAATAGTTTTAAACAATACACCACAATCTACGGGTTTTTTTTCTTTTTTTTAATAACGCTTCCATCCCTCCCGTCGGACAAACCGGATAGAAAATAATAATTCCTTTATACACCACGTTCTACAACCTTTCAAATTCATATCGACTATAACGCGGCGGCCGCCGCCGACTACTTCCCGCGCGCGCCAAAAATACATTTACACTGTGCCTAACACTATCCCGACCCGTTCATCGTCTATCGCCTATTATTTTACCCGCTTTTTTTTAATACAAATAATACTTCAATAAAAACGGTCGTTGGAAATTTTCAAGATTAATCTAAAAATGTAAGTAACAACATTCTCGGGGGGATACCCACGACCGTCGATAATAATAAAACTGTTGTATTAATTTTACCAACAGCGCGGCGCCCGCTGTAAGGTCAATAAAGAAATAATTGTAACGCATGTAGTGGCCCTGAAAAGGGCCGTTTTAAAGAGGATTTGTAGTGTTTGAGACGATTAAGCACGTTCTCCGCGAATACGGCGAGCCAACTGGATGTCCTTGGGCATGATGGTAACGCGCTTGGCGTGGATAGCGCACAAGTTGGTGTCTTCGAACAGACCGACCAAGTATGCTTCGCTGGCTTCTTGCAGAGCCATGACGGCCGAGCTCTGGAAACGCAAGTCGGTCTTGAAGTCTTGGGCGATCTCGCGGACCAAGCGTTGGAACGGCAATTTGCGGATCAACAGCTCGGTGCTCTTCTGGTAACGACGGATTTCACGGAGAGCCACGGTACCGGGACGGTAACGATGGGGTTTCTTCACTCCTCCGGTCGCCGGTGCGCTCTTGCGGGCGGCTTTGGTGGCCAACTGCTTCCTGGGAGCCTTGCCTCCGGTAGATTTGCGGGCGGTTTGCTTGGTACGGGCCATGTCGGTAGTTCGTAGACTGTGTGTAAAAACTCGAAACGGTCGAATGTGTCTCCACACACCGAACGAGCTGGTTATATACAAATTCGGATCATAGGCGCGAGTTCTCATTGGTCGACGGAACGGCCTGCCGAAACAGAGGGGGTTCGCGCGATACCGCGCCGCGATTGGTCCGCGCGACGGCCCGATTACATAAATACGACGCGAAAACGTTGTCCGGGCATCATTCGATTTGTTTCTTCAGTCCGACGCAGCTCTCCGAACGACAATCAGCAACAATGACCGGACGCGGCAAAGGAGGAAAAGGTTTGGGAAAAGGAGGCGCCAAACGTCATCGTAAAGTGCTGCGGGACAACATCCAAGGAATCACCAAGCCGGCCATTCGTCGGTTAGCCCGCCGCGGTGGTGTCAAACGTATCTCCGGCCTGATCTACGAAGAGACCCGCGGAGTGTTGAAGGTGTTTCTGGAAAACGTAATCCGTGACGCCGTCACCTACACCGAGCACGCCAAGAGGAAGACCGTCACCGCCATGGACGTGGTCTACGCTCTGAAACGCCAAGGCCGCACTCTGTACGGTTTCGGAGGTTAATTCCCGACGACCGTTCGCATTGCACCCTACCTACTGTTCTTTAAAACGGCCCTTTTCAGGGCCACCATTTTATGTTATCACAATTATTCATTAACGTTTATGTCATTTAATGCATTTCGCAGTCGGCTACATGAGTACGTAATATAATATTATGTGTCACGTGTTTGGATGCGCAAAATAGTTAATATTATGAAGTATACCGTATGAATTAACAAAACGTTATGGCGTATTGCCATTATAATAATATATATATATACAAACGAGTAGTTTTAACGGTATACATTTGTAATTGTTCGAGTTAATATTTTATAGTACATACAGACTATTGTGTACTCTGTAACATACATGCTAGTTGACATAAAAAATATAACAAACTAAATGTATAATATAATATAACATACTAATTGAATATTTGTGTATTATACAATTAGTAGAATCGCACGTGGGTAATATACGATTTTTATAACTATAGCCCATTGGTAAAATAGACATATAGTAGTACTAATTTATTGTCACAATAATATAATATTGTAAGTCATTGATCTAAATCTATAATATCTATTAATATCGATGACAATATTATTGAAGAGACAATATTTCGATATTAACCAATGATGTTATTATTGTAGTGCCGGCCGATGTTGTAGCTAAATAGCAAAATACAATTGTCTTTTTTGTTTTAGTCAAGTGTCATTAAATCACTGTTGTCACATATGTATACGTTGGTATTTCAAGCTCATACTAATAATCATATTGTATATTATACTTAAATATTATTTCCAATTCGAGTTATAGTCATATTTTATAAATTGTTATTGACCTAAAAAAATAACTAAAGTAGATTTGCTGAAATTCTAAGTTATAATTGTTTAAATATACCTATATTTTCTAAGGCTCGACAAAATAATGTAACGATATTTTTCGCCCAACATAGCACATCATTTTATACCGAAAACACAACAAGAGTGTTGCGCAATAATAGTAAATATTGGTGGCCCTGAAAAGGGCCGTTTTAATATTTGTAAATACGGCGACGACGTTCTTATGCTTTCTTTTCGGTCTTCTTGGGCAAAAGGACGGCTTGGATGTTGGGCAACACACCGCCTTGGGCGATGGTGACGCCGGACAACAGTTTGTTCAACTCCTCGTCGTTCCTGATGGCCAACTGCAAATGTCTGGGGATGATACGGGTCTTCTTGTTGTCACGGGCGGCGTTACCGGCCAACTCCAACACTTCAGCGGCCAAGTACTCCATGACGGCGGCCAGGTACACGGGAGCGCCGGCACCGACGCGCTCGGCGTAGTTGCCCTTCCTCAACAGACGATGGATACGACCGACCGGGAACTGGAGTCCGGCACGGGACGACCGGGTCTTCGATTTGCCGCTCTTTGCTTTTCCTCCTTTGCCGCGTCCGCTCATGATGCTCGATTGTAGATTGTCGTGTAGTGAAACGAGAGAAAATCCAGACGATACTGATGATCGGAACAGGCCAAAATCGGTATTTATACACTTATACGACGTAAACGCGTCTGTATGTTGGCCTACGTTTGAAAATAACAACGATGAAAAACCACACTTCGTAGGTATGAACGTCCCAAGCTATGTGTTGTTTATACTCGTCGTGTTTTTCTTTGATGCTTAGACGTTGACGATGAAAAAACGGCACATCGTAGGGTTCGCTTTTAAACACAAAGTGTTAGTCTTACTCGTCGTTTTTTCGTCGACTCTTACAAATCGTACTCGATAAACCAAGTCGCGACGCGTAATAAATATGAGCGTAAACGATTTTCGAACCATCATTCGTCCACCAGCTACCGGCCAACTATTTCGACGACCCGCAAACCGTGTACAACCGCAGTCACTATGGCACCAGGAGGTAAATCCGCAGGCAAGGCCATGAAGAAGTCCGGCAAGGCGCAGAAAAACATCACCAAGTCCGACAAGAAGCGCAAGCCGAAGAGGAAAGAATCGTACGGTATTTACATCTACAAGGTGTTGAAACAAGTCCACCCCGACACCGGCGTTTCCTCCAAGGCGATGAGCATCATGAACAGCTTCGTCAACGACATTTTCGAACGCATCGCCGCCGAATCCAGCCGTCTGGCCCACTACAACAAGCGTTCGACCATCACCAGCCGGGAGATCCAGACCGCCGTCCGTCTCCTGTTGCCCGGTGAATTGGCCAAGCACGCCGTCAGTGAAGGCACCAAGGCCGTGACCAAGTACACCAGTTCCAAATAAGCATTTCGATATTAGTCGCGCGCTATATCCACTTAAAACGGCCCTTTTCAGGGCCACCAAATTATTATTATTCTGATACACGTTATTATATAATATTATTATTATTACTCGTAGTGTATCCTATTTAAGTTATTAATATCTGGGGTTTTTAATTTTTATTGACAATATCACCGACCGGACGGACGACCGCCGTGTGTGTTATCGTCTTTTGTATCATTATATTACGTTTGTCGTCGGTTAGTACTACGACGTGTATTTTATTTGTACATTCAGCGAATTTTTTCACATTACATTACTAAAAATATAAATTCACTACACAAATTAGAAAAAAACGGGAAAACAATATTAGCTATATATGTATATAACAGCTTTATTAACTAAAATAAAATACAACAGTGATCTGCTCACTCGAGTTAATTGCATAACGACACAGTTTACTGGCAGAGTATAATATTATTGCATTTGAATATATTATATTATTAGGGCCCGGGACTTGTACCGAATGGTCTGAAAAATACATCTGACTGCAGTATAGTTCTTAAAGACCAACGTATTTTAGCAAATAAACGCAGGCCAAACGAATCAAAACAAAACTATACAAAATTGTCTACACAGTAAAAATGTCAATAGTGTTTATCATTTAAGGCCGCCCAAATTACTTTGTCGGGGGCACTCTCCCGTAATCGACCGTTTTATTACGAGGAGGGTATTGTCGCGCGCATTATTGTTTTTACGAATATTATAATTGTGTGTGTGTTTATTAACTTTTGAGTTACTTTTCTTTTACTTAATTTAAAAGTGTTACCTTTTCTCCCGTCGATTTTAAGTGTGTTTGTGTGTGTGTTTGTGTTTAAACGGTTCGTGTACCAAAGTGCGTATACGACACTGACAAGTTACAATTTTGAATTACATTTTAAAGAATCGAACATTTTTTTTTTGTTGTATATTTTGGGATTTTTTTATTCTTAGGCAGGTGGGTACTCAAATGTTTTATTATTTTCGATAATTGCGTCATATTTTAAAATTTTGTTTATTTAAAAGTGTTAAATTTATTTTTTATAAAAACTATTTTTATTTAGGTTTTGCGGTTACAACTAGTATGAACATGATATTTAAAAAATACAAGTTATATTTAAAAAATAAATTTCGAGTGCATACTTGGGGTTTCATTGAACAATTTACAGATAGGTACAATATAAAAAAAGCGATTATGAAGTACGTTTGTATGTGAGTACGTATGCATGCATGCATGTATGTATGTATGTATGTATGGATGGTGTGTACGTCAACAGATATCGCTTTTAGAATTGATCGACATCGAGACGGTTTTTCGTGTACAGTTTATCATATACGACTATAGTACACAAGTATTTGAATTTGAATACAAATTTACAATGAAATACAAATGAATACAACGACGTGGGTCGTTCGTTCCGCTCGTTTGTTTTTTTGTTTTTGTCCTGTTATCTATATCTCGCGTGTGCCGTTTAACGCACAGCGCAGCGGCCGCGTCGGTTGTTTTTTTCCGTTTTTAATCGGTCAGGTCAATTTGTAGTATGATAAACTGTACACGAAAAACTATCTCGATATCGATCAATTCTAAAAGCAATGTCTTTTAACGTACACGCCATCCATACGTACATACATACATACATACATACATGCTTGCATACTTCATAATCGCTTTAATCATCTTACATATTATCTGCAATAGCCAAGTATTTTTTATAGCATTACAATAACGTTGGTATTTTTATTAAATTTCCCCGCTCGTCCATTCTAAAGGCGTCACCCCTGCCCTTTCAATCTGTTTAAAATACGATTGTCATAATTTTTTTTTATTTGTATTCTACGGGTAATACCGACTAACAGTTGATGAACTACGGATTTATTCTAAGTTTGTATCTGTAGGACATCATTTTCCTAAATATACAATAACAAACGTATTTACTCATATTGTAATCGTTTTAACTTTTTCATTCCATTTCACAGTCACTATTACTTACTGTAGTTTGTATTACTATAATCTATAAAATATTAAATATCGGTACGAGACACCGCCGTTGACCGACACGACTATTGTGTGTATATTATATTTTATTAATATTTGGTGGTCCTGAAAAGGACCGTTTTAAGGGTTTAAGAGAGTGTTTTTAACAAATTACGCCTTCTTTTTGGGCGCAGCCGTCTTCTTGACTGCCACCTTCTTCGCCTTGGGTGCCTTGGCTTTGGTGGCCGGCGCTTTCTTAGCCTTGGCCGGAGACTTTTTCGGTTTCGCGGCTTTGGGTTTAGGCGCTGCGGCTACCTTTTTCACCTTCTTGGCGGCGGGCTCGCCGGATTTCGGTTTCTTGGCACCGGTGCTCTTCCTCTTCTTGGCCGCTCCGGGCGCCTTGGACACCGCCGCTTTCTTGGCGATCGGCTTCTTTTTCGGCGCTACCTTCTTCTCTTTTTTGACTTCGGCGGCCAATTTGAAATGGCCCGACGCTCCGTTGCCCTTGGTCTGGACCAGCTTGCCGCTGGCGACGGCCGACTTTAGGAATTTGCGGATGAAAGGCGCTAGCTTGGCAGCGTCCACTTTGTAGTTGGCGGCCAAATATTTCTTGATAGCCGGCAACGACGATCCTTTTTTCTCCTTCAGTTCCTTGACGGCTGCGATCACCATCACGGCCGTGGTAGGATGAGCCGGTGCGGCTTTCTTCGCCTTGGGAGCGGCGGACTTCTTTTTCGGCGACTTGGCCTGGGCCGGCGACGAGGCGGCTGGTGCTGGTGCGGCGACTGCGGTGTCGGTCATGGTGAAGCGGTTTGAAAATAGACTCTGGTACTCTGGCAAAATGAACAGGAACGGTGTGTATAACTCGAGTTTGGCCGTCACACCGTCTATATACTCGTCGCCATACCGACTAGTAAACGCTTACGGAATCGAATTTTCCGTTTTGACGTGATCCCGTTCCGTTTTATCTCGTTTTTTCCGCTCGAAAATCACTCAACGGCGATAAATCTCTTTCTCCTTAAAGCCAACGTTATAGCAAAGCCGTCGGTCGGTCGAATTTTCTCTTTAAGTCGACGGCCGCTGTGCCGTAGGAGGTTGTTCCGACCAGTCCGACTATTCAACGATACACCTCTTTCGAGGTCGATTACAACCCGTTAATGTCGAGTTAAATTAAAAAGTCTTTTCGATTCGCAATCTGCACGTGTATTGAAAAATTATCGCGTAGGGTATAAGAGTCTGAGTTATGAAGGGACCGAAGGGGGCCGTGTCGAATTCGGGTCGTTAGTAGTTTTACGCGTCGCGCAGTTATCGTCGAGACTCTATGCGATATTTTGACGGCGGCCACACCGACCGAATCGACCTAAGATTACACCGAAAATAGTAAAAACAATTTCAATTGTCATTATAAAAATATATTACCCGTTCGGCTATCAAAGCTGCCCCGATTTCTATTAAAAATAAGACTTCCAAACGAACGCTGAACTGTATTTTAATCGAACCGTTAAGCCGCTTCGAACGAGTAAACCGTCGCGACTAAGACGTCTTTACGTTTGTTCAAATTTATTTTATATATTTTTGAAAGTTCGAGACCGATTTATTACGTCTGCTCAACAGTAGTATTGTTAAATATCTAGACTCGCCCGTGATCGTCGGGGGTCCATATTATGACGAGTTCGACAGCACAGTGTATAAACTGAACGACGAGTAGCCCGTTTACAAAACCGATTACGTTGCAAAAAATTAATATCGGTATTATCTTTTAAAGTTTTATGATTGACGTTTTGGTTTATTTTGTCTCGAAATAAATTTCCAAAACCCGTTTTTTTACCCGATAAACATATACTTTATGTGTAGGCTTATTTCCAAAAGTTATTGTCTGCAGTAATTGCCAAGAGGCATGTAATATTGACCGTTTGTCAAATAAAAACTTATTACCATCACAACGGTATTCACATAGGTATTACATTATATTTTAATATTAAAGTCGGAAACAATTATTTCTCATTTTATTAAACGAAAATGCTAAATTATTATTGTAAAATTAGAAATAGAAATAGAAAATGTATTTTATGAATAAAATCGTTGTTTTTTTTTTCTCCAGAAATAATCTACTTAATTCCAAAACTTTTCGTTTACTCACATTTGAGTGCCGAACCTAGTTACTTTTTCATTTGAAACGTGGTTGGAAAAATAATTTAAAATATAGAGCAATTAACAAAAAAAAAATTGCAATTATTAGATAACAACTATTTGTCTTAATTATTATGTCTTTAAACGGTTTTTTTCATGTTTTCCCAAAATTTCAAAAAGTGTTGACTTTTATAATTAACTGTATATTATGGGCTAGGTATTCGATAAACAAAATACAAACACCAGCTGAACAATGGCCATTTCACATTAGCAAGTAATATATTATTATTATTATACGTCATTTGGTATATTATATTATTTAGTTTTGAGAAACGTATAGAACCTATTGATGTCGTCACTGCCCGTGTATTTTAAATTAAGTGCCGCGGAAACGTGTGGGGCTCATCTGTCTACCTAATTTCAGTTAAAATAGTTTTAAACAATACACCACAATCTACGGGTTTTTTTTCTTTTTTTTAATAACGCTTCCATCCCTCCCGTCGGACAAACCGGATAGAAAATAATAATTCCTTTATACACCACGTTCTACAACCTTTCAAATTCATATCGACTATAACGCGGCGGCCGCCGCCGACTACTTCCCGCGCGCGCCAAAAATACATTTTACACTATGCCTAACACTATCCCGACCCGTTCATCGTCTATCGCCTATTATTTTACCCGCTTTTTTTTAATACAAATAATACTTCAATAAAAACGGTCGTTGGAAATTTTCAAGATTAATCTAAAAATGTAAGTAACAACATTCTCGGGGGGATACCCACGACCGTCGATAATAATAAAACTGTTGTATTAATTTTACCAACAGCGCGGCGCCCGCTGTAAGGTCAATAAAGAAATAATTGTAACGCATGTAGTGGCCCTGAAAAGGGCCGTTTTAAAGAGGATTTGTAGTGTTTGAGACGATTAAGCACGTTCTCCGCGAATACGGCGAGCCAACTGGATGTCCTTGGGCATGATGGTAACGCGCTTGGCGTGGATAGCGCACAAGTTGGTGTCTTCGAACAGACCGACCAAGTATGCTTCGCTGGCTTCTTGCAGAGCCATGACGGCCGAGCTCTGGAAACGCAAGTCGGTCTTGAAGTCTTGGGCGATCTCGCGGACCAAGCGTTGGAACGGCAATTTGCGGATCAACAGCTCGGTGCTCTTCTGGTAACGACGGATTTCACGGAGAGCCACGGTACCGGGACGGTAACGATGGGGTTTCTTCACTCCTCCGGTCGCCGGTGCGCTCTTGCGGGCGGCTTTGGTGGCCAACTGCTTCCTGGGAGCCTTGCCTCCGGTAGATTTGCGGGCGGTTTGCTTGGTACGGGCCATGTCGGTAGTTCGTAGACTGTGTGTAAAAACTCGAAACGGTCGAATGTGTCTCCACACACCGAACGAGCTGGTTATATACAAATTCGGATCATAGGCGCGAGTTCTCATTGGTCGACGGAACGGCCTGCCGAAACAGAGGGGGTTCGCGCGATACCGCGCCGCGATTGGTCCGCGCGACGGCCCGATTACATAAATACGACGCGAAAACGTTGTCCGGGCATCATTCGATTTGTTTCTTCAGTCCGACGCAGCTCTCCGAACGACAATCAGCAACAATGACCGGACGCGGCAAAGGAGGAAAAGGTTTGGGAAAAGGAGGCGCCAAACGTCATCGTAAAGTGCTGCGGGACAACATCCAAGGAATCACCAAGCCGGCCATTCGTCGGTTAGCCCGCCGCGGTGGTGTCAAACGTATCTCCGGCCTGATCTACGAAGAGACCCGCGGAGTGTTGAAGGTGTTTCTGGAAAACGTAATCCGTGACGCCGTCACCTACACCGAGCACGCCAAGAGGAAGACCGTCACCGCCATGGACGTGGTCTACGCTCTGAAACGCCAAGGCCGCACTCTGTACGGTTTCGGAGGTTAATTCCCGACGACCGTTCGCATTGCACCCTACCTACTGTTCTTTAAAACGGCCCTTTTCAGGGCCACCATTTTATGTTATCACAATTATTCATTAACGTTTATGTCATTTAATGCATTTCGCAGTCGGCTACATGAGTACGTATATAATATTATGTGTCACGTGTTTGGATGCGCAAAATAGTTAATATTATGAAGTATACCGTATGAATTAACAAAACGTTATGGCGTATTGCCATTATAATAATAATATATATACAAACGAGTAGTTTTAACGGTATACATTTGTAATTGTTCGAGTTAATATTTTATAGTACATACAGACTATTGTGTACTCTGTAACATACATGCTAGTTGACATAAAAAATATAACAAACTAAATGTATAATATAATATAACATACTAATTGAATATTTGTGTATTATACAATTAGTAGAATCGCACGTGGGTAATATACGATTTTTATAACTATAGCCCATTGGTAAAATAGACATATAGTACTAATTTATTGTCACAATAATATAATATTGTAAGTCATTGATCTAAATCTATAATATCTATTAATATCGATGACAATATTATTGAAGAGACAATATTTCGATATTAACCAATGATGTTATTATTGTAGTGCCGGCCGATGTTGTAGCTAAATAGCAAAATACAATTGTCTTTTTTGTTTTAGTCAAGTGTCATTAAATCACTGTTGTCACATATGTATACGTTGGTATTTCAAGCTCATACTAATAATCATATTGTATATTATACTTAAATATTATTTCCAATTCGAGTTATAGTCATATTTTATAAATTGTTATTGACCTAAAAAAATAACTAAAGTAGATTTGCTGAAATTCTAAGTTATAATTGTTTAAATATACCTATATTTTCTAAGGCTCGACAAAATAATGTAACGATATTTTTCGCCCAACATAGCACATCATTTTATACCGAAAACACAACAAGAGTGTTGCGCAATAATAGTAAATATTGGTGGCCCTGAAAAGGGCCGTTTTAATATTTGTAAATACGGCGACGACGTTCTTATGCTTTCTTTTCGGTCTTCTTGGGCAAAAGGACGGCTTGGATGTTGGGCAACACACCGCCTTGGGCGATGGTGACGCCGGACAACAGTTTGTTCAACTCCTCGTCGTTCCTGATGGCCAACTGCAAATGTCTGGGGATGATACGGGTCTTCTTGTTGTCACGGGCGGCGTTACCGGCCAACTCCAACACTTCAGCGGCCAAGTACTCCATGACGGCGGCCAGGTACACGGGAGCGCCGGCACCGACGCGCTCGGCGTAGTTGCCCTTCCTCAACAGACGATGGATACGACCGACCGGGAACTGGAGTCCGGCACGGGACGACCGGGTCTTCGATTTGCCGCTCTTTGCTTTTCCTCCTTTGCCGCGTCCGCTCATGATGCTCGATTGTAGATTGTCGTGTAGTGAAACGAGAGAAAATCCAGACGATACTGATGATCGGAACAGGCCAAAATCGGTATTTATACACTTATACGACGTAAACGCGTCTGTATGTTGGCCTACGTTTGAAAATAACAACGATGAAAAACCACACTTCGTAGGTATGAACGTCCCAAGCTATGTGTTGTTTATACTCGTCGTGTTTTTCTTTGATGCTTAGACGTTGACGATGAAAAAACGGCACATCGTAGGGTTCGCTTTTAAACACAAAGTGTTAGTCTTACTCGTCGTTTTTTCGTCGACTCTTACAAATCGTACTCGATAAACCAAGTCGCGACGCGTAATAAATATGAGCGTAAACGATTTTCGAACCATCATTCGTCCACCAGCTACCGGCCAACTATTTCGACGACCCGCAAACCGTGTACAACCGCAGTCACTATGGCACCAGGAGGTAAATCCGCAGGCAAGGCCATGAAGAAGTCCGGCAAGGCGCAGAAAAACATCACCAAGTCCGACAAGAAGCGCAAGCCGAAGAGGAAAGAATCGTACGGTATTTACATCTACAAGGTGTTGAAACAAGTCCACCCCGACACCGGCGTTTCCTCCAAGGCGATGAGCATCATGAACAGCTTCGTCAACGACATTTTCGAACGCATCGCCGCCGAATCCAGCCGTCTGGCCCACTACAACAAGCGTTCGACCATCACCAGCCGGGAGATCCAGACCGCCGTCCGTCTCCTGTTGCCCGGTGAATTGGCCAAGCACGCCGTCAGTGAAGGCACCAAGGCCGTGACCAAGTACACCAGTTCCAAATAAGCATTTCGATATTAGTCGCGCGCTATATCCACTTAAAACGGCCCTTTTCAGGGCCACCAAATTATTATTCTGATACACGTTATAATATATTATATATTATTATTACTCGTAGTGTATCCTATTTAAGTTATTAATATCTGGGGTTTTTAATTTTTATTGACAATATCACCGACCGGACGGACGACCGCCGTGTGTGTTATCGTCTTTTGTATCATTATATTACGTTTGTCGTCGGTTAGTACTACGACGTGTATTTTATTTGTACATTCAGCGAATTTTTTCACATTACATTACTAAAAATATAAATTCACTACACAAATTAGAAAAAAACGGGAAAAACACATATTAGCTATATATGTATATAACAGCTTTATTAACTAAAATAAAATACAACAGTGATCTGCTCACTCGAGTTAATTGCATAACGACACAGTTTACTGGCAGAGTATAATATTATTGCATTTGAATATATTATATTATTAGGGCCCGGGACTTGTACCGAATGGTCTGAAAAATACATCTGACTGCAGTATAGTTCTTAAAGACCAACGTATTTTAGCAAATAAACGCAGGCCAAACAATCAAAACAAAACTATACAAAATTGTCTACACAGTAAAAATGTCAATAATGTTTATCATTTAAGGCCGCCCAAATTACTTTGTCGGGGGCACTCTCCCGTAATCGACCGTTTTATTACGAGGAGGGTATTGTCGCGCGCATTATTGTTTTTACGAATATTATAATTGTGTGTGTGTTTATTAACTTTTGAGTTACTTTTCTTTTACTTAATTTAAAAGTGTTACCTTTTCTCCCGTCGATTTTAAGTGTGTGTGTGTGTGTGTTTGTGTTTAACGGTTCGTGTACCAAAGTGCGTATACGACACTGACAAGTTACAATTTTGAATTACATTTTAAAGAATCGAACATTTTTTTTTTGTTGTATATTTTGGGATTTTTTTATTCTTAGGCAGGTGGGTACTCAAATGTTTTATTATTTTCGATAATTGCGTCATATTTTAAAATTTTGTTTATTTAAAAGTGTTAAATTTATTTTTTATAAAAACTATTTTTATTTAGGTTTTGCGGTTACCAACTAGTATGAACATGATATTTAAAAAATACAAGTTATATTTAAAAATAAATTTCGAGTGCATACTTGGGGTTTCATTGAACAATTTACAGATAGGTACAATATAAAAAAAGCGATTATGAAGTACGTTTGTATGTGAGTACGTATGCATGCATGCATGTATGTATGTATGTATGTATGGATGGTGTGTACGTCAACAGATATCGCTTTTAGAATTGATCGACATCGAGACGGTTTTTCGTGTACAGTTTATCATATACGACTATAGTACACAAGTATTTGAATTTGAATACAAATTTACAATGAAATACAAATGAATACAACGACGTGGGTCGTTCATTCCGCTCGTTTGTTTTTTTGTTTTTGTCCTGTTATCTATATCTCGCGTGTGCCGTTTAACGCACAGCGCAGCGGCCGCGTCGGTTGTTTTTTTCCGTTTTTAATCAGTCAGGTCAATTTGTAGTATGATAAACTGTACACGAAAAACTATCTCGATATCGATCAATTCTAAAAGCAATGTCTTTTAACGTACACGCCATCCATACGTACATACATACATACATACATACATGCTTGCATACTTCATAATCGCTTTAATCATCTTACATATTATCTGCAATAGCCAAGTATTTTTTATAGCATTAAAATAACGTTGGTATTTTTATTAAATTTTCCCGCTCGTCCATTCTAAAGGCGTCACCCCTGCCCTTTCAATCTGTTTAAAATACGATTGTCATAATTTTTTTTTATTTGTATTCTACGGGTAATACCGACTAACAGTTGATGAACTACGGATTTATTCTAAGTTTGTATCTGTAGGACATAATTTTCCTAAATATACAATAACAAACGTATTTACTCATATTGTAATCGTTTTAACTTTTTCATTCCATTTCACAGTCACTATTACTTACTGTAGTTTGTATTACTATAATCTATAAAATATTAAATATCGGTACGAGACACCGCCGTTGACCGACACGACTATTGTGTGTATATTATATTTTATTAATATTTGGTGGTCCTGAAAAGGACCGTTTTAAGGGTTTAAGAGAGTGTTTTTAACAAATTACGCCTTCTTTTTGGGCGCAGCCGTCTTCTTGACTGCCACCTTCTTCGCCTTGGGTGCCTTGGCTTTGGTGGCCGGCGCTTTCTTAGCCTTGGCCGGAGACTTTTTCGGTTTCGCGGCTTTGGGTTTAGGCGCTGCGGCTACCTTTTTCACCTTCTTGGCGGCGGGCTCGCCGGATTTCGGTTTCTTGGCACCGGTGCTCTTCCTCTTCTTGGCCGCTCCGGGCGCCTTGGACACCGCCGCTTTCTTGGCGATCGGCTTCTTTTTCGGCGCTACCTTCTTCTCTTTTTTGACTTCGGCGGCCAATTTGAAATGGCCCGACGCTCCGTTGCCCTTGGTCTGGACCAGCTTGCCGCTGGCGACGGCCGACTTTAGGAATTTGCGGATGAAAGGCGCTAGCTTGGCAGCGTCCACTTTGTAGTTGGCGGCCAAATATTTCTTGATAGCCGGCAACGACGATCCTTTTTTCTCCTTCAGTTCCTTGACGGCTGCGATCACCATCACGGCTGTGGTAGGATGAGCCGGTGCGGCTTTCTTCGCCTTGGGAGCGGCGGACTTCTTTTTCGGCGACTTGGCCTGGGCCGGCGACGAGGCGGCTGGTGCTGGTGCGGCGACTGCGGTGTCGGTCATGGTGAAGCGGTTTGAAAATAGACTCTGGTACT